ACCGGACAACCTGTGCTGTAACTGGTGCTGGTGGTGCAGTCACAAGCCATCGAGCTGGAACCGAGCCACAGATGACCCTACAGCAGGTTTTCAGAGACACGTGGGAGGGGGTGCCCAGCCTTCTCCCATGGAGCAGCTGGTGGATTTGACCCATGTACCTTTGGAATTGCAGTGCCGCTTCTCACCACTAGGCCACCAGAGCTCCCTAATTATTGAATGGGAACCTAAAATGTCATGTAAACCTTCATCGAAATGACATGAAATGATTACTTTGAAAAAAAAAAAGATGAAAGCAATCAGAGATAGAGACAGACAGATGCCACCTGAAGACTGAGCAGGACCGAAGAACAGAGGTTCAGGAGACAAAGAGCTTCCCCAGAACACCACCCCCACCCCTGGGGGGGAGGGAGGGGAGAAAGAGAGAGACAGACACACAGACAGACAGACAGTATCCCCCGAGAGCTGACACCCAGAAGCCAGACTTCATTGTCAGTAGAACAATGGACAATCTCCTCTTGGACACCTGCAGGAGGGCAGCCAGGAGTCGGATCTGACCCGAGGGCCGGGCGTGGATGAGTGATGTCTCGTAAAGTGAGAAGACAACCTCCTGTGGGTCAGGCCACCTCCCTGGCTGGTGTTCCCATTACAGCAGCTTGAGGAGTGGTCACTGTCCCCATTCCCAGTGTCCCTCAGCCCACACCTGCCCAGTGCAGCGCTCAGCCCTAGGCCGGCTGGTACTTACTCTTATCCTCGTCATACGATCCTCCAGAGCTGTTGCTGTACCTTGACTCCAGGCGAGTGTGGGTTCTGATGACATTGCTGAACCTTCAAAGCCAAGAACATTGTCCTGAGCATCAGGGCATTCCTGCGTGTGTGTGTGCGTGTGCGTGTGTGTGTGTGTGTGTGGCACAAAACCTACTGCCCCTGAACCAACTCTGACTCCTGGAGTCGCTGTGGAACGGAGCAGAACCACCCCTGAGGCTTCCCAAGCTGCCGTCCTAACGAAGCTGCCTGCCCCATCCCGCCCTCAGGGATCAGACGGCCAGCCTCTGGCGGACTTCCTCACGTGACTGGGACGCGCTGCAGAGCTGACCTTCTGGTGCCGCCACCTGTAGATCTGGGAGCTGTTGGGCTGCAAGTTAAGCTACAGGGGCGAGTTCTGCTCCCCGCTTTCAGGGAGGCTAAGGGCCAAGGTCTTGGGGTTTCACGGGTCCCCATTACACCCAGCAAGTCTGGATACTACTGTGGTTCTGAGTTTTGATCCACATTCACCTTTCATTTGACCCAGAACCTTCTACTCTAATTAATAATAATAATAATAATAATAATAATAATAATAATAATAATAAAAAAGCAGTTAGCAGTGGTAGCTGACTTTGCTGACAGCAGAATGTTACATGCTGCTCTGCTAACGGAAATGTTGCTGGTTCAAATCCACCAGCCGCTCTGTGAGAGAAAAGCAGGCAGAATCTCCTGGAAGGACCCACAGATCGGGAACCTGAAGGAGGGAGACTGTGAGCCGGCTGTGTCACTGAGGGGCACGTGCAGAGCTGGCGAGCCGGCTTATTATCTGCTGCACACATTCTTGGCTACAACAAAGTAAAATAAATTATGTGATCAAAACCAAAAAAGTCCCCATGGAGGACAGTGGTGCAATCTGTAACTGACCACGGATGGCTCAGGGCCTCCTTAGGAGGCAGGACGCGAGGCTCTGTCTCACTCGTCCTGGACATCTCATCAGGAGGGCCAGCTGGTAAAGCAGAGGTCCAGTGACAGAGAAGGCCCTCAGGATACAGATGGACAAACACAGCAGTGCCTGTGAGGTTGGTGCAGGGCGAGGGCTTTGTTCTGTTTTACGTGGGGTCACAGTGGACAGGAGGGCAGCTGACAAGCCATCTCACGGACTATCAGAAACATCTACAGCTGAAGCTGACGGCTGTAGCTCCCTATGAAACAGCCATTCACAGAACTACAAAGACATGAAACAGTCCAACGTGAAGGGCTGATGTCTTTAAAGATACTTGTGGATCTCTGATTTCAGAACCTGCTACACAGCTGTAATAACCAAAACAGCATGCTGCCGGTACAATGACAGAGACATAGACCAATGGAACAGAATTGGGAACTCAGAAATTAACCCATCTATCTATGGTCAACTGGTATTCAGCAAGGAAGTCCAACCAGGAGTGCACAGCTGGAGAGGATAACATGCATGGGACCCTCCAACGATTATGTCCGTGTGCGCATCAAAAACTGTTTCCAGTAGAGGTAAAGGAAAACCAACTGATTGGAACAAACATTTGGCAATGCCATCTCAGACAAAGGTCTCATAAGTAAAATTTACAGAATACTACTGGGCCTCTACAAGAAAAAAAAAGTCTCATTATCCAATTACAAAATGGGCAGAAGATATGGAAAGACCTTTCACAAAGGAAGACATTCAAATGGCCAACAGATACATGAAGAAATGTTCAAAATCACTGGCAGTAAGTGAGATGCAAATCAAAACCACAATGAGACACCATCTCAACTAAGTAGCAGTGGCAAAGTTGACAGGACAACAAGCAACAACTGTTGAAGAGGGTGTGGAGAGATTGGAACTCTCATACATTGCTGGTAGGATTATTAAATGGTACAAGCACTGTGGAAGGCCGTTTGGTGTGTCCTCAAACCTGAACAGAGATTTCACGTGACTCGGCTGACATACATGCAGAGGTTTGCACACCAATGTCCATATCAACCTTATTCACAATAGCAAGAATATGGAAACGGCCCACAAGTCTGTCAATAAATGACTGGATTGAGAAACATTCACATGATGGAATACTATGCAGCACTCAGGAGTAATAATTTTGAAAAATACTATATAGCATGTGAGAAGTCAGAGAGCATTATGCTGAGTGAACTAGCTCAGAGGCATAAGAATAAATACTGTTTAAATCCGTTATTGTGGAAACAGGATAACCAGTGAGATGTATGTGGATACATACAAAGAGGGAAGGGTCAGGAGGAGCGGGGCTGACGGTCAGGAGAGGGGAAATCACGGCGTCAAGAGTGGAGGGTGGAGAGAGGGAGCAGAAAAAAACCATACATGACTCAAACACAACAAAGAGAGAGACAGAGAACAAAGATACTTGTGGAGACTGTTTCTGAGTATTTGATAAAACTTCTGGAAATGGCTATTTTTAATTTAAAATTTTTTAAAAAATTTTACTGTTGCTTTGTTTGTGTACCGTCAAATCAGATCTGACTGGTACAGGAGGAGATGGTCCCTCCTTCTCCAGCAGAGCATCTGGTGGATTCAAACCGAGCACCTCTGGGATTGCAGTGCAGCTTCCTGCCACCAGAGCTCGCTGGAACTGCTATTTTTAGAAAAATGCTTTTTATATAAGATATAAAACATAAATATGCCTATTTTATTACTTAATATGGAAAACCCAAAACGAAATCAAAACCTGTGTGATGACACTCTTGGACTTGAGGGCTGCTTCCGTCAGCAGCTTCTGACATGTCCCATTTTCTTCACACACTGAAAGTTAGAACACGCCGAATGCATTTCTGTTTCGCTTGGAGCATCACGGGATGCCACTTTGGGGATGAAGGTCCATGTGACCTAAGCCAGGGCCCTTTTCACCACCTCCCAGCCACGTGGAGGCTACGCAGTGAATAAGGAAGCCTGGAGGCTGATCAATGCCTTGAACAGTGCTGGTGAAGAACACTGACTGTCCAGGACCCCAGCCGCCCATGGATCCTCCTGGAGAGCACAGCCAGAGGGAGCCTTAGAGGCGGGGCTGGGGGGACTCTGCCTCACATAACCTGTGCTTGCTGTCAGGAGGGCCAGTCCTTGAGAAGGGCATCATGCTTGGAAAAGTGGAGGGTCCACAAAGGAAGGAAGGCCCTCGATGAGCTGGACCAACACACACGGGCTGCAAGGGCCCCTGGCCAGTGAAGGTTGTGAGGATGGCACAGGACTGGGCAGGGTTTCTCTGCTGTCCACGGAGCCGCTGCCAGTGGAAATGGACTCGATAGTAACTAAGCACACACACGTGGTGAGGGCGGGCCTGGGCGCCGTGAGTGGTGAGCCTGGTGTGCTGGTAACCCAAAGGCTCGGGCCCCCCAGCCACTCTGGAGGAAGATGGGAGGATGCCAGCCATAGAGATCTATGTGGCAGCTCTGCTTAGACCCGCAGGGCCCCTCCAGTCAGAGAAGCCTCGATGTCAGCGGGATTTCTGTGGCATTGTTACATATGACCGATTACATCAAGCCCAGCAGAGTAAAGAATGCTTTTCTGAAGTGGCTTTAGTGACAGAGAGGAGAAAAACAGATGGGACAGTACCCGGGCTGGGGAGGTGCATGTTCAGTAGTCTCCAATGTTCACATGGTTCTTATTGTCATTCCCTTAACCAAGCAATTAAAAAATGTCCACTTTGTGTAGTGCGAGGAGCCTGCCGGCTACCTGAACCCACCAGTCTCTCCTGGAGAGAAAGACATCCAGTGTGTTCCAATAAAGACTTCGTGCTGGGTTAGGCACCATCAAGCCCACAGCCACTCATAGTGACCTGATGAACAAACTGCACCCTTGCTCCACCCTCTGTCCTCCGCAGTCTCTGCCATGTGCGAGACTCACAGCTCGGGACACCCTGGGGAGGGGTTGAGTGGAAATGAACCCAAAAGCTGTGGGTGGTTTTATATGCAGCACGACACACGGATGACTGAGGCTGTAAAGATGTGTTAGCAAAACGGTCCCTGTTCTCCAGCAATGAAGATCCAGAGAAAACAGAGCTACGGGCTTCCTTCAACATGCTTCACAGATGCCCGGTACTCACGCCTGCGCGTGTGCGCACCTGCCTCAGATACACGACACTCACGCCTGCGCGTGTGCACCTGCCTCAGAGATACACATTCATGACTGCACGTGTGCACACACCTCACAGATACATGACACTCATGCCTGCACGTGTGTGCACCTGCCTCAGATACACGACACTCATGCCTGCACGCGTGTGCACCTGCTTCAGAGATACATAACATTATGCCTGCACATGTGCACACACCTCACAGATACATGACACTCATGCCTGCACGTGTGTGTATCTCACAGATTACGACATCCTTGCCTGTATGTGCACACAGGCATAGAGGCTCGGAACCAATCTGCCTGTCACTGGTCTGCTGCCACGTGCTGTCACGTGCTGTAATCCCAAGGACTGACACAGCTACCCCCTAGCTTCCTAGGCTCGATCTATGGGAGAGGATGGTCAGGTTGTATGAAGTGGCTGGGTCGGTTACAACTGGTAATTTCTGAGTGGTTTTGAACTGGTAACCTCTGGGTGAGCAACAAAGTTCTTAACCACTGTTCTGGCAGGACTTCTTTCTCTGACTCTGCTCAGGGAGAAATCATAATTTTTTTGACATATAAAATATCACTTTGGTCCATGTTTCTAAAACCAAAGATGTGTATGTGAAATTAATGAAGCTCCGTTCACTTTTACCAATGTCTCTGTACAGATTGTTACTTTTCTCCCATATTTTTCATTTTTGTGCATATATGATGTGTGCTCAACTTTATTTCACCTCTGCCCTACACCCCCTTCAACATATACATCATACCTGTGCTAACTTCCCCGCCACAATTCATCACAGTTAAAGAGGGCTTGACTGGGGAAGAGAAACGGGGGGATGCATGTGTCTGTTAAATGTATATAATACGGTAACTGTAAACACGCCAGGTTTGCACACCAACCTCTCATCGGACTCTTTCAGCATCTTGCTGTCCTCGGCATCTGGGAAGCTGTCCTGACCGGCCACGACTGTGTTGCTGCTGGACGTGGTCCCTGTGGGTGGATGAGAGAGGACACTGAGGGACTACAGTGGGCCCAGGGTCAGCACCAGGAAAGAGTTTCCTGTGAACCCCCTGAAGAGCAGATCTTTGACATCTGTGAAGTCCCAGATGCTCCCAACAGCCCCTCACACCCAGGCCACTGAAACAGGAGGACTGCAGGCTTCCCTTGGGTCACAGGGGACACCTGCTCTCCTGTGACGACGGCCTACCACATGCTTGAGGCCCACTCTTGTGGACACTCAGGGGAAGGGTTTGTTTGTGCCACGCCTGCTTGGGGTGGCTTTTGAACCCCAGGTCCTGAGTCATTGCACAGCATGTCTGGGGTCTGTCCTAGACCACCACAGCAGAGCCAGCGTCACAGGGAAGAGCCACACGGACCTCCCAGTTTCACAGAGCACAGCGTCGTGCTGACTATATGGTGGTCCGTTAAGGGAGCAAGAGAAATCCTGTTCCTCGCTGTCGTCCATTCAGACTCGGGCGCCCCTGCGCGAGTTTCCAGATCTTGATGGGAGGAGTCTGCTCATCTTCCTCCCGTCCACCAGCTTCTGGATTCAAGCCACGGACCGACTGTTGGTAGCCCAGCACGTAACTTACTAAGCTGCCAGGGTTCCTGGGGCGAGAATCCCCAACAGGGGCCACGGCGACGTGGGGTGAGCACATGCACCTCCCCACTTACCTCAGCCTTCAGTCTGTAAGAACACCCGCCCCGCCCCACCCCGCCCTGCCACCGGGCATGTGCAGTAAAGTGAACATGGCCAAATAAGACGGCTGGCTTCATGTTCATGGCCAAGGACAGGAATGCCTGCTTCCCAGGCTGGCAATTCTAGAAATGACTGCCTTTCAGGCAGCCACGCGCAGGGCAGGGAGAGGGCCCGACAGCTGGGACATTACAGAAAGCTGGGACACAGGAGGTCACCCCAGGGGAGCAGAGGGGGGCATGGTGACATCAAGAACGATGCTCAGAGGACTGTGCACCAAGGAAGGGACACTGCAAGTAGTTATGCAATAAGTTTCAGTAAACTCCACCCCAACTCCACCTTTAATCAATTCTGGGGGCTGTTTCTGGGGTCCTGCAGGGGTTTCTGACTCCCCACGACCCTGAGGACAGAGGACAGCTGTCCCCAGCATTGTCCAGGCTTGATCTTTGCGGGAGCAGGCTGTTAGAGCTTCCTGGTGCAGACAGGCTGGTAGCTTTGAACTCGTGCTCTTTCACTTAACAGCCAAGTGCCTTAACCGCAGCATCACCTAAAAGCCTAAACCTACCGCTGCTGAGTGGATTCTGATCAGCTGCCACGTCGGCAGTCCAGGGCCGGAAAACCCCGGGGGTGGACTGGCCCTCCTTTCCTCGCTCACTTTTGGGCCAGCAGTCGAGAGCTTGGCTTCTGTGACACATGGCTTTGTGTAAAATGGACTAACCCCACTCCCAGCCCACGGTCCTCTAGCAGATTCTGACTGAGTGACCCTGCAGGACAGAGCTGGACTGCCCCCAGCGTGTCCACAGCCGGGATCTTGACAGGAACAACGACCTTTCTGCCAGCAGCTCGGAGCTGTACCTGCAGCGGCGGCAGGACTCCTCGGACGTGGCAGACACGCACTCGCAACACAGAGGGAGCGTGGGGCCCATGGGGGCTCGTACCCGAGGCTGCGGCGGATGCCTTGCTGCTGGCCGTGAAGCGGTAGAAGGGCGGGTTGTCACAGTGCTGGACGATGGGGTTGACCGGCTCTGTCTGCTGCAGCTCGAACAGCAGCTCCTCCATGGTCTGGATGGTACTGTTTCTGCACAGGTAGATGACCACCTTCTTGATCTGAGGGGAGAGGGGGCAGGGCTGCTCCGGTGTCCTGTCCACAGGTCCACTCCCCACAGGCCAAGGTGGCAGCTGGGATGCTGGGCACTACACCACCTGTCCACAAGACGGACAGGTCTCTGTGGAGCCTTCCGATTAAGACAAGGGAGAAAGGCCTGGGGACCCAGTGCTAAATACGAGTCCGGTAACTCTACGGATGACTGACTGCAGAACACCGCCTGACTCTCACTACGGATGCGCTCACAGGAGTTCACACCTGCCAGAGGGCATCGTGCTTGGGAGAGGAGATGGGCAGTGAGGATGAGAGAACACAGGTGACATGGACCGGCCGAGAGTCGTCAGGATGGACTGTGACGTGCTGGGGAGGACAGCACGTCCAACCCATTGTCCACGGGACAGCGGGAGTGGGCGTGACTCGATGGCGGCTGACAGTGACAGTCCTCAAGTCAGTGAGGCCACTGAAGGCCAAGACAAGACTCACGGACCCTGAGTGAGAATTGGGAGTGACCACCACCCACGTGTCAGGAACTGGAGAGTGTCCATGCAGAACATGGGTCAGCCTGGTGAGGTCATGTTCTCACAAAGAGGCAAATCACCTCCACTTGGGACTGGAGGAAATGATGCTGGAACCTTCATCTCTGTGCCATTAGTGAGGTGAGACTAGAGGACACTAGGGGGTAGGATGCGGCCTCCACGCCAGGAATGGATCTCAGGGTAATATGTTGTGGACACAAAAGAAAACAGAGACCTGAGACACACCCATCTGTGGTGTCCCTGTCACAGCAGCACCAGAGACCTGAGACACACCCACCTGTGGTGTCCCTGTCACAGCAGCACCAGAGACCTGAGACACACCCACCTGTGGTGTCCCTGTCACAGCAGCACCTGAGACACACCCACCTGTGGTGTCCCTGTCACAGCAGCACCAGAGACCTGAGACACACCCACCTGTGGAGTCCCTGTCACAGCAGCTCTAGAGACCTGAGACACACCCACCTGTGGAGTCCCTGTCACAGCAGCTCTAGAACTGGAGAGAGGCATGGTCAGCATACAGTGGCGCCTGGGTCTCACGGGGAAGACCGCACCGCTAGGTGACCCTCAGTGCAGCTCGGGGAGCTGAGAGCAAGAGGCCGCTGTTGTCTCTAGTGAGAGCCAGCTTTCGAGGCGATCTGCACATTGTGCTTAGTTGACAGGACTTGGTTCCAGGGGTGGGGCCACTTACGTAGGGCAGCAGGATGGTGTCGCTGCTGACCCCGCACAGGCTGATGAGGAACTGCAGGGTGACCCGCAGGTTGTTGCTCCACTTCTCGTTGTTGGCCAAGGCGTTCCACGCGTTCTCCATCTCGGGCCCGGGCACTTCATCTCCGTACTAGGCAGACAGCAAGGAAGAGAGGCAGAGGAGGTGTGTGAAGAAGTGACAGGGAGCCGCCTGCATGCCTGAAAGAGGTCTGAGGGCATTCCCAGCCCACCGCACTCGAGGTGACGTGCACAGTCCTTCCCAGGACTTAAAGATGACAGTGGCTCTTAATGAGGGTCTTGTTGGTCTGGTGGGCTAAGTTGTGAGCTTCTACCTGAGAGGTGAGCAGTTCAAACCCAGCAACTACTTCTAAGGAGACTGGACTGCAGTCTGCCTCTGAAAAGCCCACTGCCTTGGAGAGCTGTGGGTGGTTCACCCTGTCTGTGGACAGCTCCCCCTGTCCTGTGGGCAGCTCCCCCCATCCTGTGGGCAGCTCCTCCTGTCCTGTGGGCAGCCCCCTCTGTCCTGTGGGCAGCTCCCCCTGTCCTGTGGGCAGCTCCTCCCCCTGTCCTGTGGGCAGCTGTGATTTGGTCACACTGCTCATGTTGTTGGATATTCCTCATGGTGTGTAAGCAGTACTACCATTCTTTTCCAGGTCACAATCCAAAGGCCGACGTGGCCTCCTCTGTAGGACCAGTGACCGGCACCCTGACCCCGAAGGCCGACGTGGCCTCCCTTGCAGGCTCGGTGACCGGCACCCTGACCCCGAAGGCCGACGTGGCCTCCCTTGCAGGCTCGGTGACCGGCACTCCGACCCCGGCCCGTGCCTGCAAAGGCACCCTCCCTGCGCTCACCTTGGCCGTCATGTACATGAGGTTGTTGAGGACCAGCGAGGTGGCTTCCGGGGAGCCCCAGCCGGTGCCTCGCAGCCCGTGGCAGACGGCCACATCCACGTCCCGGTCCTTGGTGTCGTCCTCGGGGCTGCTGGGGCTGGAGCCCGGGAGGAGCAGCCTGCTGTCCACCAGCTCGATGTTGTGCAACCAGGGCAGCAGGTACGTGAGCATGACCTGCCGGCCATTCGGGTGGGTCGTGGGGAAGCGCTGGCTCACCTCTGGGGTCACCGAGAGGGAGAGAGGGGATTCGTCCATCAGAAGAATGAACGGGTCCCAGCTCAGAAAGGCTGGGATGCCTTGGGCAGCACTAATGGTGAACATGATCTGCCAACCCAAAGGCTGGGTGTTCAAATCCACTCGGAGACACTGTAGGGGAAAGGCCTGGCAATGCACTTACACCTGTGGGCACAGGCCACCAGGGGCCAGGACTCAGCCGCGGTGGACAGTGGCACAAGGTCACAGTTTATAAACTGCTGCCAGCTCATAGTTTCAGAGAAGGAGTAGGTGGTACCGTGTGTGAAATGTTGAGCTGTGAATGGTTGTTCAAACCTACCAGCTGCCCCATAGGATAAAGGTGTAGCAGTCTGCATCCGTACAGGCCCCAGAGACCCTCCCCCACCCCAGGGCAGGCTTCTCTTCCGACAAGGACGCTGGGAACAGGGCCAGCAGTGCGGCAGCAGGTTTGTGGGGTTCTGGTGTCTCAGTAAAGTCACATAATTGGACTTGTCCCCAGGCTGTCTGACCGACCCCCGGGGCTTCTAAGCAAAGTGACGCAGCATGACAGGACAGCGTAGGTACTGTAGGAGGAGTGTGGGCTGGAAGACCGCGGGTTCAAATCTAGGGCTGGAAAAAAGCAGTCTGTAACATGGAAACTTCAAGGGCCTTGGGGGCTATGGGCTCAGTGCCCTGCTCTCCTGCTCAGTGGGGGCGCGGGTGCTGGGCTGGTTCTTTACTGTCTCTGTTTCTCCGTTTCCTCACTGTGAGGCTCAGCCTTGAGCCCTGATGCCTCAGGGTGAAGGAAAGCAAGTTACTACAAGGGCATCCTTCTCTTCCCTATATGGACTTTTCTTTGTTTTCTGAATTTGTGCAAAAAATATGGGTGTTTTCAAAAGGTGCAATTCTTAGAACAAACGTGGATGGCTGCGTATTTTCTTTTCACATGGAAGTCATGCTTCAATCGCCCGAGAAGAGAGACAAGAGCACTTGTGCCTACAGTCTGATCGGAAAGGCTGCTGTCTTTAGGAAGTGGCCCTGGCAGTACTGAGGACTAAGCTTTGGGCTGTCCACAGAAAGGTCAACAGCTCGAATCCACCAGCCTTTCCTCCAGAGGAGCTTGGGCCATTGATCTCTGCAGGGTCTGTGGTCTCAGAAACTGTGGGACAGGGTTACTCTGTCCTCCAAGGTTGCTGTGAGTCCGAGTCGATTTGAGGACAGTGTGTGTGTTTGCTTCTTGTTTTGCAACAGTTTTTTACCGAACGTGTCAGTCACTTTATTGTGACACTTGCTTTATTTCTGTGTTCTGGAGCCAAACCTGCAGTAACTCAATAGTCTCACTGTCTTTTCTCAGTCTCCACCCAACCCGTGTCAGTCCTGTTCTAGAATAGTGGTGTCATGCAGGATTTGTCCTTTGGTGACTGTGATATTTCACTCAGCACTGAAACATATGAAGGAGAGAACTGTTTTAAAGGAGTATATATGATTAGGCATTATGTCTATGACCACAGTACCGAATAAGAGGTGCATAGCTAAGTGGACTGGCAGAGTGTGGAGGGAGGAAACTGTGCAACAATGAATGATGAAAATCTAACTTTTCTGTAAACTTGCATTAAAATCACAATTGAGAAAGGTGGGCGGGGAGAACTCATTGTCATTCAGTTGGAACTGCCCCCAGCAGACGCTCTAGCCCATTTTCCAAGGCTGTAGATTACGTGGGAGGAGACTGCCCATCTCTCCGGAAACACAGCTGTGGGTTCAAACCGTCAGGAAGTTAAGGCCTTTGTGTTAGGAGTTCAGCTCCCTGTGGGCTATGCCACCAGACACTCCGCACCACCACCCACTAAGGCTTGTATTCAGTAAGCTCTGAAGCATTCTCTTACGATTGCATTTTGAGAAGAAACTGTTTTGTCCTTAGGGAAATTAGAGCAGCTGTTATAATACGCTCAGGCAGCAAGCCATCTCATTCAGAGAACATCTAAACCACAGGCCAACACCCCAAATCCAGCCCAGCCAATCGGCAGTGGAGGTGATGCTGGCTCCCAGCACTCGGTGGGAGGGCCGTGCGTCTCGCAGGAGCAGAACACATTATCTTTCTCCCAAAGAGCAGCTGACTTTTCTGTTCCCAACCCCACGCTTGGTCCACTGCACCACCAGAGGTCCTGCTAGAAGAACTCAGGGGGCAGAATTTAATCCAGAGACTCCCCCAGATTCTGGGTTAACCATGTGCTTCATCACTGCGGCATCTGGGAATCTTCTGAAAGTGTACGGAGGCCCAGACTCTCATAAGAAGCAGAGTCCGGCATAGGCATCCCTCTGGTGGTTTCTAACATAAACCCACTAGACACTATGGTTGAGGATTTTGAATTCTCGTGGACTTGACTTTTCTGGAACCACTGAGGCTGGACGAACCCCTGAAACTACTGTCCCAAGATCACCTTTAAATCTTAAACTAGGAATACCCCCTTTGAAGTCTTCATAAAGCCAAGTTAGAGTTTAATAGTCAGAAACATCTTCTTTGAGCATTATGCTATTTTTTTTTTAAGATCTATGTGGGATCAAATTGACAACAGCAACTCAGAAGATGAAGCAGGAACTCCGGAAGGCAGTGAGCTATGTTCATGAGGGAGAAGTGACTCAGAAAAAGGTGAAGAATGTAATCAGAGTCACTCAGCTGTGCATATATGAACCTTAATTGGTGGGGAGTCCCCGAAAGAGGGGGCTCCGCGAATCTCCAAAGTCACATCTCTGTGGTGAAAGAGGAGCAGTCTCCTCTCCAGCAATTCACAGCCTCGGGAATCCCGCTGGAGCAGGTTCCAACCCCAGGGCAATGAGTTTGAACTTGGTATGTTTTGCTGTGTCTATTCTCAACTACAAGAAGCAGCAAATTTTTTTAAATGTTTCCACTAATTCTTAGCAACTCTTCCCCTCAGAAGGTGGAGGCCAAAGTAACCTCCCTTTGAGTTTGGACTAGACTTCCTGACTGGATATGAAGCTCTAGAAAACAGGACAGGGACAGTGTCTCTGAATACGAAGCCACAGAGAGACGCTTGGCTTGTCTCAGTCTTGTCTCAGTCTCCTCGCTCTCCCTCTCTTGGACCACATGCTCTAGAGGAAGCCAGCTGCCACACTGTAACAACACACACAGCCCTGTGTGGAGGGACCCCGCGGTGAAGAACAGAAGCCTCCAGCCCACAGTCACTTTATGGGAGGGAGCCACGCTGGAAATACATACTCTGGCCCTAATTAAACCCCAAGAAGCTCTGAGAGTATATTAAGTTACAGGTTGTGCTGGATAACCAGGTGGTCCACAGTTGGAACCCACCAACTGCTCCACAGGAAGATGAGGCAATCTCCTCCCATTGAGATTTACAGCCTCAGAATCCCAGGGGAGGGTTGCCACAGTCAGAACTGACCTGAGTCAGGGTGTCCTCAAACCTCAGCTGACTGCATGACGGGTAGAAGCCCTGAGCTAAGCTACTCCAATTCTTAAGTCTCAAAAACTGTGAGATGAGAAGGATTTGTTAGGGAGCTCTGGTGGCCTAGTGGCAAGAAGCTGCACTGCAATCCCAGAGGTGCACAGTTCAAACCCACCAGATGCTCCGGTGGAGAAGGAGGGGCAGTCTCCTCCTGTACCAATCAGATCTGATTTGACTGTACACACACACACACACACAAAATTATATTTAAAAAAAAGGGAAAAAAGTGTAGTGACTTATTTTAAGACTAAGAATATATTTTCACACTTGCTGCTAGTCTTGAGATGCTGTGTTTTACACAGCGCTCTGGTGGCTTAGTGGTGAGGATCCGCACCTCCAAAGTAAAGGTATGTGGTTCGAATCCACTGCTCGAGGGAGAAAGAGGGGCAGTCTCCTCCTGTGCAATTAACGGCCTCTGAACACCCCCTGGAGGGTCAGCTGTGTGGGGGTTGGTTTCAACTCGATGGTACATGACAACAACATTTATAAACAGTATTAAATCCTTCTGGATGTTACTGCTGGTGTTGTGAAGGGTCCCGCTGTGTGCGCAGGCACTCATAAAAACAGCTTCCATTACTTCTGAGCGGTCTCCAGGTGCTGGTCACCCCATCCAGGACTCGGGGGAAGGGAAGGTTTACCACATGCGGTTCCTGTCCCCGAGGCATGGGCTCTGGGATGCAGTGTGTGGACATGAACTCCAGAGCAAGGTCCACGGACAAAGGCTAACCCTGCCCCAGACTCAATTCCAACACGTGGTGGCTCCCTTCTGGGTTCCCGCGGCCGTAAACCTTACAGGAGCAGACGACCTCTTCTTCCTCACACAGAGCAAGCGGAAGGTTCGAACCGCCAACCTTTGGGTTAGTTCAGCACGTCACACACCACATCACCAGTCTCCTCAGGAGCAAAGTGGTGGTGTTGTGCACCTCAAGTCAGAATTGACTCGTAGCTGACCCTCGGGCAGGTTTTCAGAGACTGTGAGGCACACGTGAGCCCGCGCTTTCTCCAGTGAAGCAGCAGGTCGATTTGAACTGCATGTCTCTGGGGTAGCAGTGTAACCGCTCACCACCACGGCAGCCTTGCTGCAGACTGCTGCTGTGTTGTTCGGTGCTGTCAGGTTGACTACGACCCACAGTGAGCCCGTGAACAACGGATCCCATGAACAGTGGATCTGTCCTGTCCTGTGCCACCTTCTCGTCTCTGACACATGTGAGCCCACTGTTACAGTCACTGTGTCCATCCATCTGGTTGAGGGTCCCCCTGTTTCTGCTGACCTTCCACCTTTCCAAGCATCATGTCCCCCTCTGAGGACTGGCCCCTCCGAACAATATGACCAAAGCACGTGAGACGAAATTTATCCACCTTGTCTCTACGGAGCAGGCAGGTGGCACTCTCTCCAGGACATATCTCCTCTCCTGGTCATTCCGTGGGTGTTCAGTAAGGACTCTTCTCCAACATCACAACCCAGACATTGATTCCTCGGGAAGAAGGAAGAATGGAGTGTTTTGCCTGGGAGAGCTGGGCAGCAAAAATGAGGTCTGACTGCAAAGATCTGGGAAAGTCTGATGGGGGAAGAAGTGTTTAAATTCCTGTCTGAAAGATCTGCGCCCTGGTGGTGTAATGTATTATGTCTTGGGTTGTTAATCAAAAGGTTGATAGTTCAAACCCACCAGTTGCAACACAGAGAAAAGATGAGCTAGCCAGCTTCTGTAAAGACTCAAAAACCCAACTTGTTGCTGTCGAGCTGGAAGCGGCCCAGAGCTGATCCCCCAGCATGGCTCTGAGGCTGCAGACTAAAAAGGAGAAGTGGCCAGCACTCTTCCTCAGAGCTCCTAGTGACCAGTGTTCTTCCTTGGAGTTCCTAGTGACCAGTGTTCTTCCTCGGAGCTCCTAGTGACCAGCGTTCTTCCTCAGACCTCCTCGTGACCAGTGTTCTTCCTCAGAGCTCCTCATGACCAGCGTCCTTCCTCAGAGCTCCTCGTGGTCCCAAGCTGCCAAAGAGGCACTGCTTGGAGTGAGCAGTGTAACTCACCACAGTCGAGGCCACTGGTGCCCCTTCTGTAGAGATTCCCGTCCTGGGGACACTACGGGCCAGCTGTACTCAGGATCGATGTGATGACAACGAGCTTGGGATTGAGAAAGGTTCTGAGGGCAGGAGCCGTGGTGACGTAGTGTGATACACGCTGTGCTGCTAATAGAATGGTCAGCGGTTCAAATCTGCCAGTGAATTCTCAGCAGAAAGATCCTTGATAGGGTGGTATCCTCCAGTAAAGATTCATGGCCTTGAAAACACCTTCCATTCTGGAGATGCAGGTTCGAATCTCAGCCAACACAACTCGTGCACAGGCGCTGGCACAGACACAGAAATGAACCTTTCTGACCCAACCTGCACCCTTCCAGACAGATGGGTGAATGTGACACAAGTCAAACTGAAGCTGTTAGGTGACACTGAGTTGACCACGACTCACAGCGACCCTGCGTGTCAGATGCCATATGTCAGCTCTGCGTCCGAGTGGGCCACATGTAACACGGAGGCCCTGCCAGTCCTGGGCCCCTCACAGCCCCTGCCTCCTGCACCCACTGCTGCCTCTCGGTGCCCATCCACCTAGCTGATGGGCTGCGTCTCTCTCACTCAAACAAGCATGATGGCCTCCCCAGGGCCTGGCCACTGCTCATACCATGTCCAGAGAGGAGAGACGAAGGGCCACGCAGATTTATGTGATGGTGCCTTGAGAGGGTCTGGAAGAAATCGCCTGGCGCCCTACAAGTAATTAGGTCACCTGAAATTACAGGCAATAAAGATTTCACCACTGGGTTGGAACAGCAAATGCAGTGAAACACCGGTTAGGTATCAGTCCAAGCCACCTTCCTTCTCCACGTTATGCTGAAGGTTCTTCTTCAGAAGCCTAAATAGCCCCAAGGTAAATTCCTGACGCAAACCCAGGTGGCACCTGCATGCAGCTCTTTACGTGGGCGTCTGGTCTTGAATATGTGCTGTTGGAATGCTTCACGTCTCCTCCCTCCTGAAGTGTTGTCAGCGTAGCTCAGTGGCTATGTGCTGAGCTGCTAATGGAAAGGTTGGCAGTTCAAATCCACCAGCCACTCTATGGCAGAACGACAAGGGAGTCTGTTCATCCCAGAGCCAAATCCCTGGGAACCACCAGCAGGTGTGTTCTGTCTTGTCGGGTTGTTATGCATCGAGGTTGACTTGATGGCACCAAAGAAAATGTCCAATGAGACAGACTGACACAGAGACTGCAGCACGGGGCCTGAGTGGGTCAGAGACAGAGAGGACGGCGCAGGACAGGGCAGGGTGCACATCTGCGGTTCACAGGGTTGCTACGAGTCAGACTCGACTCCACAGCACCTAACAACCACAACAACTAAAATAGCAACAACTGTCGATTCTAAAGCTTATTAAAATGTACAAGCAGGATGCTAGACTGGGGGCCGTGGGGCTCGGGGGCAAGCGCCTGGCCGCTAACTGAAACGCCCACGGGCTGCACCTGTCAGCCAGCTTTCCCCCTCCGTGTTGGGAGAGAAATGGGCAGTCCGCTCCCGTTGGCATCCACAGCCTTGGAAGCCCTGTGGACAGCCGCAGAGACAGCTCTGTCAACACGAGCCAAAGAGAGAAACCTGGGGAGCCCACGGGGGCCCTGCTGGTGCAGCCGCCAAGTGCTCAGACACAAATGGAAAGGCGGGCAGTTCGAACCCAGCAGTCACGCCGTGGGGAAGGCTGAGGATGTGTGTGACCACGAGACTCTACGGGTAGTTCTACTCTGTCCTGCAGGGCCGCTGGGAGCCAGAATTGACTCCTAGGCTCTTGGCGTTTTTAGACAACTTAGACATGTAACAAAACGTAGGCTGCAAAGCAACAATGATAAGAGTAACACGAAAAGCAAACAGTTTGCAGGGCTATGTGGGTACTGTCCATGGAACAGAACTTGTACAGACGGGCACTTTACACATAAATGTGTGTCGGTTCTTAGAGCTAATCTAAGCATCATCTGAGGAGCCCTGGGCACAGGGCCTAAGCTTGGTTGTTAATGGAAAAGCTGGCAGCCAGCCTAAAGGAGGCTTCGTGAACATCCCAACCGTGGAACTCGGGGCCGTGAGTGCCCTGCAGGCTGCTGGGAGCGGTACCCACCCACTGCCAGTCGGTTTGGTTTGGTATAAAGCAGCATGGTGTGTGTGAGGGGTTATACAGAGCACTGGGTTTGCACTCATTATAAAAAGCTTCACTGCGTCTGTCATATATTTAGTCTTACACACACCGCTGTAGAGGGAACTCTACTGGCCTAGTGGTAAGAAGCTGGGCTGCAGACCCAAAGGCACACAGCTTGAATCCACCAGCCGCCTGCGTGAGAAGGAGGCACCATCTCCTCCCGTGTGGTTTCCTGCCTCTGAAAACCTGCCAGAGGCTCAGCAGTGGGTCGGTTCTGACACAACAATATTGTTTTAGAGAAACACGTTTTTCCTCTTTGAAGATACATCAGGATTTGCTTTTCCGTGTCTCTGGCCGTGTTGCTGTCAGGCGCTGTCTAGGGGACTGTGACTCAGAGTGAGCTTATGTGGCACGGGAGGACTAACTGTCCAGCTCTGACCCGGACATCTTCCCAGGAGCTGGCCCAGGTCTTCTGTGCATGGAGCCCTGGGCGTGCTGGGAACAGCAGCCAGTAGCTGCCTGTGCTCGCCCGCTAAGCCCGCGGTTCTCCCTGGAACTTCCTTCAGACTCACTTATTGCCATGGAGTTGGAACTGGCCCTCCGTGAGTTTCCGAGGCTGTGAACAGAACAGCTGGGGGATCTGAACCCTCAGGGAGATGGTACCTCGAGGACAGCAGTTCATGTCCTCCAGACGGCACCGCCACAGCGCCTTGGAACTTAACCCGCCCACAGCCGCTCGGAACTGCAGGCTCCACACGGTCCTCTGGGCCTGCACGTGTTGGAGAAGGAGAACCTCCTTCAGGTAGGGGGGACGCTGGCATGTGTCAGACACACGTGGCACGTACCTGAGAAGAGAAGCAGCGTGAGCTCCGGGTACATCCTGGCCAGCTCACAGGACAGCAGTGCCAGGGACATGCTGTAGAGGGGTGGCAGAGGCCCATGTGTCCCGTACAGCAGGCTCCCGGGTCTCTGCTCCGCCACCTTCTTCGAGTACACGAAAAGCTTGGCTTCGAGGATCTAGCAAGAGGTTGGGAAGTAAGAAACGAGGTGAAGGCGCGTTTTCTCTGCCTCCCTGGAGCATCGCATGTCACAAAGCGAGCTAACGCCTGCTCTAACGAAGTTGTGGGAAGAACGGTTTCACGAACGTTCACAGAGGACGAAGCCCTCACCTCCCACCAGTGGTGCCGCAATAAACGCTCAGAGCAGTAGTGAACACAGCAGGCTCGGAGAGCGTTCCTGGCTTCGGGGCTCAGGGGGGCCTGTCCCGGAGGATGAGGCTCCGTACCTGCATGAGCTGCATCGAAAGCTCATACATCTCCCTGTTGGTGTCGGAGGCCTTGAACAGAACCAGGTTTAGCAGTGTCACCAAGTCAAAGGGATAGTTCCTGAAAAAAAAAAAAACCCAAAAAAACAAAACAAGAAGCAACCCAGGTCATAGGCAGCTTGGCTCGTCCCTGGTGCTGCCAGAAAGAACACAGATACCACAAGCAGTGGCTTTATTCCCTCACAGTTGAAAGGCTAGAAGCTCAAGTTGAGACTGCTGGCCCAGAGGACAGCCCTCTCTCCACAGGGGTTCTGGAGGAGGGCCTTGTCTCACTCTGCATGCACAGACCTGGTGTTTTTGAGGACTACCAGAAGTCTCAGCCTTGCAGCACAGTGAGGAGCCCAGGGACCAGACCCTGAAAGGCCACACCCCACTCTGTTCCTTCCGGGTGCAGCTGCGGTCCTCCCTCTTGGCTGCCTTTCCTTTATTTCTTTCGAGATAAAAGGTGTCACAAGCCACACCCTGGGGAGCTCCCTGCACTCTTACATGTAACCAGGGCAGTGATGGGGTTCCGGGGAGCTGCATCCACTTCTAATCCTGCTCCAACTATGTGGTGTCAGATCACCCGCAGTTTCCACAATACAACATCATTGTGTGGAACTGGCTCATAGCTGACCCTCCAGTGGGTTTTCAAAGACTGTTAGTCACACAGGAGGAGACCGGCCATCTTTCTCCGGGGGAGCAGCTGGTGGATTTGAACTGTGTGTCTTTGAGTTGGCAGTGCAGCTCCTTACCATGAGGCCACCATTTATATGTATTTCTAGGGGACATTATTCAATCCATGACTGGAGTAATTTTTTTCATCCATGTGGAAAAGAGACACAACAGTTGCCATTGGATGGTGTGGAGTTGGCTCAAACTCACATGTACAACAGAATGAAACACATTATCTACAGAGCAGAGCATAAGCCAATTCCACAAATTATCCACGTTCAGATAAGTGACATGGACTATGTCCTTCCAGCTGTGCACCTGGCCTCATCCTCCTTTTCAGAATTGTTCCTCCACATTAACACCCAGGACACTGCAGGGCTGTTCTTCCACATTTACCCAGACACACAGCACTGTAAGCCTCTCATCCAACTCTTCAAGTTGCTGTTACCAATAGGAGTCCCTCTAGACAGTTCACTGATTAAGGAGCACTGGTGGCAGAGTGCACAACATCTCAGGCTGGTAACTGAAAGGCTGTATTGTTAGGTGCCATCAAGTAGACAAAGACTCCTAACGACACCACGATACGATCATGTACCATCCTCATCATCCCTGACACGCTCAAGCCCAGTGAGTCTGTCAGTCCATCTTGTTGAAGGTCTTCCCTCCTTCACGGACCCTCTACCTTTTCCAGCATGATGTCCTTTTCTAAGGACTGTCTCTCCTAACAACATGTGACAAAGCTTCACCATCTTTACCTCCAAAGGGCACCCTGTGTGGACCTTTTCCAGGTGTAGGTGTCTTTTTGCAGCATAGTCAGTACTCTCCTCCTGCACCACAGCCCAAAGGCATCAAGAATTCTGTCACCTTTACTCATTGTCCAGATTTCAGATGCGTAGTAAGTGAATGAGACCACGGCCGGTCTGCCTTCTCCATGTACTCCACGGAGATCGACCGGAATCTCTTTCCCTAACGAGCTCAGCCTTAGAGACCAGACGCAAGGGCCTCATGAGTTAGAATCAACTTGCTGGCAGGGGGTCTGCTTGGATGTTTTGTTCTTCTTTTTAAAATGGGTGCTTTAAGACTAATTGCACTTTTTAAAAATTATTAATTTTTTAAAAATTATTAATTTTAATAGACATTTACAGAGGTTTTGGATTTCCATTCATTCAATGCCGCACTTTTCTCCCTGCCCACCCCTCCTAAGCAGCTCGTTCCCCCCTCCGAAGAGAAAAAGAAAAAAAAATTCCTTCATTAGTATACAATTCCCCTATCCCTCCCCCACCCAGTGCACTTCTCTATGCAATCTTAATTCTGGATTCCTGTGCTAACCATAATATTCAATCATATATCACTTCTAATCTGTTCTTTCCCTCATCTGTTTCAATACAATATACATAATTTATCCAGTTTTTTCTGTCATACCTCAACCCTGATGTCAGACCCGTTCTACAACAGTGGCACCATGCAGCATTTGTCCCTTTGTGACTGAGATATTTCACTCAGCATGACTAATTGCTCTTTTAAATGCATCCAGAACAACACTGGAACACCAATTTTGGGAACAGGAATGAATATGGATCTCTTCCAGTTGCTGGCCAGGAAGCTGTCCTCCAGATTTCTTGGCACAGCCTGGTGAGCACATCCAGGGCCGCATCTGTTTGTTGAAACATGTCAGCTGGTATCTCATCGGTTCCTGGGCCTTGTTTTTGCTAGTGCATGCAGCACACCTTGAACTTCTTCCTTCCTTACCAGTGGTTCCTGATCACATGCTCTTGTGGTCATGTGCCCTCCAGTCGACTAAGGCTCACAGTGACCCTTTGAACAATGGTTCTGAATTTTGCACTATTCTGTCATCGCATATACTTTAGCCCATTGTTACAGTCAGTGTCCATCTAACAGCCTCTATGTTGATCCACCTTGAAGAGGATCTTCCTCTCTGTCTCTTCCTTCACCTTTCCCAGCGTGGTGGCCTTTTCCAAGGCCTGGCCCCTCTTAACAACATGCCCAACAACAGCCTCACCTCTAAGGAGCACCGTGTTCACATGGTCCTTCCTGAGTGGGCCCGTGTCCACCGCTTCTTTTTGATGTGACTGTGTTCCTATGACTCAGAACTGACATGAATGGCAACAAGCTGGTTTTGGCAGATGAGCAAAGGGCTCTCAGTTCAGATCTATCAATAATACTCCTAGAAATTATTTTCATTCCCTATGCACCAGGAGGAGCTCATCTGCTGGGGACACACAGGCCTTTTCAAATTTTTGATTATGCTCTGCTTGGCTGGCTGCAAGTCAGTGGTTATTTGTTTACTTGATGAAGAAGATCACCCTTGACTGCTATGGCTTGAATTGTGGCCCCAAAACATGTGTGGTGAATCCTCACCCCCCAAACCTGGCTTTATCGTGAGATTTCAATGTTTTATCTTACTGAGATCAAACTGCATGAGAATGTTATGGGTCAGTGCATGTCTTGAGTCTACATCTTCTGAAATATGAAAGAGACATATATGAAAAGAAGAGATGGGCTAAGAAGATGTGGGGACAGGGGGAGCTCCCTGAGAAATCAGGAAGCAAAGCACCAAGGACCTTCCCTAGAGCCTAGAGCAAAGGAGCCTTTGCTTACAGCCAGTGTCCAAATTAGAACTTCCAGTGTCCTAAAGTGTGACATACTCTCAAGGACCTAAGTGCTGAAGAGCAAGGATGCTACCCTGAAGACTAAGGTGCATATGGCCCAAGTCATGGTATTTCCAATTGCCTCACAAGCACACAAACCTTGTGGAATGAATAAGGAAAACTGAAGAATTGCACCTTTGAATTGTGGTGTGGTGAAGAATACGGACTATCATGGATTGCCAAAGACCAGATCTGCCCTAGAGCGCCACAGCCAGGAAGCTCCTTAGAGTCAAAGATGGACACTGGGAGGGGCCAGTCCCTGGAGGACATCATGTTTGATAAAGTAGAGGGTCAGCGACAAAGAAGGAGACCACCAGTGGGACAGCTAACGGAGTGGCTAAAACAAGGGGTCAAACACAGCAGAGACTGTGAAGGCGGCACAGTTGGTTAGGGCTCCATGCTGGTGGACAGAGGGTCACAGTGACTCAGTGCCCAGCAACAACAGACAGACACAACATTTCTGTTTATTAAAGCCACCACTAGTGGCATTTCCATCACAACAGCAGTAGAGAACTGAAACACACCTGCCTGCGTGTCTCTGTCACAGCAGCACCAGAGAACTGAGACATTGTTCTGTTTAAGATATCTCTTATCTTCAAGTGCTCATACCTGCTTCCACACACGGTTGCTATGGCTTTGAAGCAGCCGGACGCCAGCTGGTAGGATCCCGTGTAGCATCGATCAATAGCCCAATTAAAAAGATTTATCTGGTCAGGGTTAAGTTCTAAGAGCAAGACGACAACTTCACAGCCAAGCTGGTGAACCTGAACATATGAGGATATAAATTATTCATGTTTAATGAGCAAACATTCTCAGAAAAAAAGACTAAAACTTCCCAAAATAAATCAAATGTGTGGTCATCAAGTCATCTGGAATCTGGTGACCTCACGTGACAGGGTACAGCAGCCCCATTGGGCCTCCTGAGCTATTGTCTTTGCTGGCGATTAGAGTACCAGGTCTCCCTCCTGCAATGACACTCATGGGTTCTAACTGCCACATTATTGGTAGCCACCAAGTGCTAACCACTGTACCCCCAGCACACGCTGTCCACACAGGAGCATCCCACCCACTGCACTGACTCAGCAACTGCTAAGGCTGGGCAGACCTGCTTCTAAATCACCATGGGAGTGACTGCATCCTTCTCCCCATGGCGTGGCTGGTGGGTGCCAATGTTAAGCTGTCAGTGAGGGGGCTCCTGTGTCATCATGGCTCCCCAGGACCTCCAGACAAGCCTCATACCTTTCCATTTAAGTCTTTATGAATATTTCTGCTGCTTCCAGCCTCTGTGTAGTGTGCAAAGTATTGCAGTGTGCCCTGGGGCATGGGGCTGATGCCCCATGCTGGTGCACAAGTGCACCTCAGATATGTTTGGCTCCAGCCAATGGCAATAAAGTAAGTCACCTGATAGCCCCACAGTGTATGTAAAACCTATGTTTTAGTTGCTGCTGATGCCATGTGCCGGGAGATGCCACTGCTGACACTGAGTGCTGGGAGATGCTGCTGCTGACGGTGTGCTGGGAGCTAGCGATGCTGTACCAGGAGCGACGCATGCCAGGAGTGATGCTGGCATTTGAGTGAGGTACCTTGTGTGTGTGTGTGTCATTGCTGTTTGGCTGGATCATGTGGGACTCCTTAAGCTCAATCAGAAGGGAGTAACACAGCTGGAGCTTGTTCTTGAAGGGAAAACCAAGGCTTCCTAGTTTTCCAATCAGGTCTCAGTGCTCTGCCTTGCATATCCTCACATTCAATCCAAGAAATGCCTGTAGCCTGGAGCACCTGGGGCTGACCTGGCTTGCGGCAGTTGACTGACAGAGGAGGCTGCTTTCACAGGCCTTTTCTCAAATGAATTGAAGCAGATCCTCCATTGGTTAGAAGGCAGAGAGAAATCCAGGCAGGGTAGCTGCCCCATCTGCTTCCAGAGCAGTGACTTCAGATCAAGAACCTGCTATCACCTCAGGCATGAAAAACTCTACCACAGCAATGTCACATTGGAAACAGCCTACCTCATTGCCTACAAAGCCCAAAGCAAGATGTCATCCCCCCAAAAGTTTATCAATGGATTTACTGATGCCAGAAAGTCTGATGGAACTTTTTGACACAGAATTTAAAAGAACAAGGATTGAATATTTTCAATGATTGAATATTTTCAATGGGTGAAAGACAAACTTGAAGAATTACAGGACACTGCAAGCAAAAACCAGGAGGAGCTTAAAAAACAATCCAAAGGAATGCAGATAAAACAGACAAGGCATTAGAGGCTCTGGAAAAACATGAAACCATGATCCAAAATGTAAGGTCCAGTGTTTCAGATGCTGTCAACATGATGGAGGGACACATGAACTGAGCTGAAGAGATGGGACACAGAACCAGTAAAATAGAAGACAGAATTGTCACCACTGATCTTCTAGAACAAAAAGCAGAATCAAAATGGAAGGAAAAGAAGAACAACTAAGAATAATGTGGGACACCATCAAGAGGAATAACACATGCATCATCAGAATCCCAGAACAGGAAGAAGCAAGTAAAAGCACTGAAAAAGTTGTAGAAGAATATTAGAAGAAAAATTCCCAGGTTTGATGAAGAATGGGAGAATATATATTTAAGAAGCTGAGTGAACACCATATAAAATAGACCCCAAAAGAAAAACACCAAGGCATAGCATAGTCAAATTTGCCAGAATCAAAGATAGGAGAGAATTCTGAAAGCAGTGAGGGAAAAACAAAGAGTAACCTATAAGGGAGAGCAATTAAGATTAACTGCCAATTTCTCAGCAGGAACCAGGAGAGCAAGAAGACAATGAAATGACATATATCAAACATTTAAACAACACAACTGTTGACCAAGAATATTGTACTCAGAAAAACTGTCCATTAAATAAGAAGGAGAGATCAAGATATTCCCAGAAAAGCAGAACCTAAGGGAGTTTGTAAAAACAAGACCAGTGTTGTGGGTAACAATGAGAGATGTCCTTCTGACAGAGATGCCACAGAGAGCAGGATGGACCAAAGGAATTAGCAACAATACCAAAAAGAACTTCACAAATGATAGCAATAAAACCTTGCCTCTCAATTATCACACAGAATGTGAATGGTTTAAACACATCACTGAAGAGAAAAAGAGCAGTAGACTGGATAAAACCCCAAATCCATCAATATGCTGTCTAAAAGAGACACACCTGAAAAGTGAAGATAAAGAAAGACTAGAAATAAAAGGTTGGGAAAAAATATGCCAAGAAAATGGCAACCAGAAAAAAGCAGGAATAGTGATAATAATATCTGATAAAATAAATTTCAAACCAAAAACCATCACAAAGGACATGAAAGGTCATGGCACAATGGCTTAAAGGGTCAACAGAAAAAGAGAACATAATAATATTAAATATCTATGCACCAAAAGAAAGACCTGCAAAATACATAAAACAGACATTAACAAAACTGAAAAAGGAAATAGACAACACCACTATAGTAGTTGGAGATTTCAGTACACCCCTCTCAAGAAAAGATAGAACTATCAGAAAGAACCTCAACAATGTTGCTGAGCAATTAAACCACACTATAAACCAACTTGACCTCATAGATATTTATAGGAGATCTATATTTGTTCCCATTCCAAAGAAAGGTGATCCAACTGAGTGTGGAAACTACAGAACAGTATCATTGATTTCACATGAAAGCAAGATTCTACTGAAGATCATCCAAAAACAATTAGAACAGCACATCAGCAGAGAACTGCCGGAAGTCCAGGCTGGGTTTAGAAGGGGTCGTGGTACTAGGGATATCGTTGCTGATGTTAGATGGATCTTG